TAGTCTGTGTCGAACTCTTATGATACTGTCAACTATAATCGAAATGCACTTTGATTAATTTTTACTAATGCTCAAAAGTCCTTTTGTGTCCGACAAGCCCAGATTTTATTGTAAAAAATCCTGTTTAGCACTCACACCAGAAATTGATAGTTGAAAAGTTTTGTCATTATATTTAGCTTGTGCAGAGGTTGTTAATTCACTAAACACGTTAGAGTACTGTACAAAAGCTGAGAAAACCTTCGCTGAGGCTTGAAGGAAAATAATCTTGCAGTAAATCTTGCCTAATATTAATCTTAGATACCACTTTAGGTAGCAGGAAAAAACGGATTACTCTGCTGCAATCTGCAGACTTCGTTAGCCTTACTCGACGGTGACCGAACAGCAACAAACAGGCTAGAATTGAAATTAACTCAGAAAATTGCGAACTTTCTATGCAAGAAAATGAGCGTTCACCACCCTTATTCGAAAGAAAGTTATCTAAATATTTGAACTTAAGTAGACTTCACTACATGAATAAAATGCATAGTACCACAAGTAGTTAGCAAGACCGATGGTAGCAGCAAGCCATATAATCGTGCCATAGCGAGTGAAACTGTACTTAAGAAACAGAGCAATGACTCACACTGATTGGAAAGTTGGTGGGCAATGAAATGGAAGCAAAGGTTTCAAAAGGATGGTACTATCAAAGTTTGTTGTAAAGAACAGCTCATTAGTAAATTCAGATTTTGAGGCAAACATGAATATAATAAACATGTAATAAGTTTTGTTATTTGTTTTTGCCGTTTTATTGAATACGTATGAGATTAAATTGGACGGAAGCATTCGATAAATATCGCACGCTATTTGTGTTATTTAATGATGGACTGATTATGCGGTAGTGTTACTGTGTTTTTCATAAGAAAACCTTGAGGCTAAAACACGAACTTGCCGCAGCAGGCGAGCGTCATGTAAATGATATTTACAGGAATTCAGTAAGATAATGTGCGGAAAAGGGAAGCTTGTGCAATGTATCACGTTGTTAAATTAAGCCCCAGGTAAAGAATGAATTTATCAAGTTGGCCCACAGACACATATTTGGGAGCAGATGGAAAAAACGAAAATTCATCCTTCTTTACATACCTCACCGATAAACAGTATTTAGCTGCCAATTATGCTCCATTCGGTTTAATGCTGAAATTTGAAATTCTAAGCTGCTACAGCTATCATTGATTGACTATAATCACAGATCTGAATGAACCAGCGTATTGTAGGCAATGATGCACACGAATGAAGACATTGATGAATGGGAAAAGATTTGTTTGCTTATGTAGGTGACAGTCTGATATCACGCATGGAAGAAATACAATATTCAGTGCTGAATGACGCCCACTAAGGATTTTGGTCAGTTATCAGGGCGGTCTTCATTCTAAATCAGTGAAAGTTAAACAAATCTAAAGAAATGTTAAAATTCTTTATTTCAATGAGTGAAGATAAATCTGAATAACACATTCATAAAACGTAAGGCCTGCACAAAATTCAGGTAGTCGCTAATTTTCTACGAATGCAAATAAGTTACTTTTAGAGAGAATCAATGAAAAACAAACAGATTTTTTATTTGTTGAATAGAATTTTTCATTAAAACATTTCATAACATTTCATTACGTTATTGCATAGATTCGTACGCAGAACCGAGAAGAAATCAGTTGACAAATTATTGAGCCACACAAACGAGCAATATATTGATACTTAATTCTGTTTCCGATGATCAGGTTCGTTCGACCAATCTGAGGATACGATATTCCAAAACGTTTGTTCGTGCCTCGCGTTTTGCGAGGTGGCCAGTTAATTGAGTGGTGTTGGTGGTGGCCGGGGTGGCTGAAGAAATGGTGTCGTCTACAAAGTAATGTTGGTGGCAGGTAATTCTTATCAGGTGATTTATGACGGCAAAGCCGTAAGCGCTGTTGCATGATTGCGCTTTACGGCGGATGCGATTGACATTGAGTCTGGTGCTAGTGCGAGTGTCTGTATGATACTCTTTCGCTGTCGAAATGTGTTTTCAATCGTGAAGCTGTCTGTGTTTAGCGCGTGATTTTTGCTTGTTGCCCTGATATACCGTGCACGCACAGACAGGCATCGAATCGTTGAAGTTCTCAGCCGCCTGATCGACGTCGGGCGGATCTGAATTGTCCTGAAACCCAATTATGGGCGACAATGGCGACCCGAACGTGTCCAACTCTAACTGTTCTGCAGTTAATTGCTCAACGACTGACGACATGCAAGTATGCGGCGGCGAACAGCACAGTTCTCCTGCAAAAACGACGTCTGCCCAGCCGCAATACAGTGTCGAGTATCTGGCACAGCTTCTGAAAGACAAAAAACACCTCATGGCTTTCCCGAACATATTCCTCCACCTGGAACGACTGGTCGACGAAGGTGAGCCAGGTTTTCGTTTTGCGATCATCTTGCTTGTTTTTCTAATCGCTTTCTTTACGCACCTAAGCCAGTTTGCATGGTCGTAATTTTGTTGCCAGTAGCTGCAGTGGCTTAGTTCTTGTAGTCATCATGCCGGTTTTATACCTCTCAGCTCTCTGACGAGTCGAGCAACCGAAATTTCGCCGTAGGCCTTCTTACGAGCCTGTCAAGACACCCTAACCAATCAGTCGTCGTTAAGTTGCACGGGCAAACAAAGGACGCCGTGGCGGTTGTTTGCGCATTTCACGAAAAAACAGTAAAAGCAGCCATTTACTTCCATCCAGGAGTAAAGTAATGAACTTTCTCTGCCAAGCTAAAAGCGCCGGTCTTGCAGATATATGATTATTATATGTTTTTCTAGCACCAGATTTGTTTGGTTTTGTACTGCACTAGCCACTAGTTCTTTATGACCGTTAAGTGTCTTGTAGAAATCGCCAAGGTCAGGTCGTCTTTGTTTACGCTGGATCCAAATAAGGAAGCTCTGGTCTTACCGGATCCAATCGGTCCCATCGCATCGTTGCAGGAAAAGGTTTATGTGCCCGTCAGGAGACATCCGGATGTGAGCAATGAACTATTTGTGACCACGTTTTCGGCGTCTGAGCGTAGATTTTGCAGTACAACTTCGTCGGTCGAATCCTTGGACCTCGTGGCATGACAGCGAAACAGCTCGAGCAAGAGACCGGTTGCAAGATTATGGTCCGCGGACGTGGTTCGATGCGCGACAAGAAGAAGGTTAGTGAAAGCCACGTAACATGCATGGCTAGTATTCGCATGAATTTTGATACGATTTTGAAAAATGCTAGGAGGAACAGAACAGAGGCAAACCGAACTGGGAGCATTTGAACGACGACCTTCATGTTTTGATACAGTGTGAAGACGCAGAGAACCGGGCAAAGATCAAAGTAAAGCGCGCTGTCGAGGAAATCACCAAGCTGCTGGTGCCTGCCGTAAGTTCGTTATTTCTTCATCCTTTCACGTACTACATACTCCAGCTTCAACTGTCGGACGTTGGGCAGGCGCGCACGCCCTCACCCTGCTTGAGCAGTTGCTTTCTGTAACATACTGAGGCACGCGATCGTCGCTCGTCTGTTTTTCAGCCGCCATGCTCAGCAGTTGTTGAGACACATGACGATGCTGGCGTGCTTAGCACGGATGTAGCAGCGATGTTACGTATATTAAGTCATGCTTCTTCTGTGAAGTGTGGAGGTAGGAGGAAGACTATAGTGAAAGATTTTTAAGGACGAAGGCACTCGCGTAAGTGGGCATAAAGACCGTAAGGGCGCCGTTTCTTATATCCTCACCATTTCTTGCATTCTCCCTTCACTCACATTACTTATTACAAAAGTTTGTCTACTATCTTTCGTCATAGTGGTTGTCGGAAAAGTACATCTTTGGCCTTCGTCAGAAGCATCGTATTCAGCGAGGACCACTCTTTTTCTTTCGTCCTTCAAATACCGCTTTAATTCGTCGCTTTTTGCACTACTTCGACAGCTCGTACGTCACGCGCCGTCGCCGCTTGACTCGGAGGTGACAGCAGTCGATGGGCAAGTTTCGACATCTGATTTTTGTTCTTCGGGAGGGGGCCGCTGAGAAGTTGATTGATGATTGTGGCAACAATTTTTGATTAATTTATTCGATTTTTTAATGTACAGTTCGCCCGACCTTGTGCCACGAGTCACAAGCAAGTACACACCCGCTCACAGGACTCCTCCGACTTATCGCTCATCTCTAAATGCATTGCCTTGTCTGAGTTTTTTTGTGGCCCACTCGACGGTCCTTCCGACGAAACGAGACTAATTTGACGTCGTTGGCAAACGAAGGCGACATCTATCGCAGTTCGAAAACCTTTCACCTTTGTAAACGGCACTAAAGTTGCCTGCTTCGGTTCGGCGCTCTGACGGGACGGAGTCCAGAATTCAACGGTTTTTAAAGATTCCAAGCTAACATGTTCACGAAACTTACATACTTTGCATCTGATCGACGAACGAAGTCTGTCCTGTCCAGTTTTGATTGAAAACAGTCTAAGAGATGTGATGCAGTGTAAAAATTGCTGAAACAAACCGTTAATTTAAAAATTTGATGGCCACCTGCATATACAAGCGAGCGGCGTTTCAGATTTTACGGGAATTAATCAGTGACAGAAACGATCTCATTAAATAGAGCTGATTGAGCCAGCCAACTCTGTTCGGGTGAGCAATCATATGCATGCCAATTTAGCCATCGAATTTTTACATCTCGTTTTAAAAGACAATTCGCAGAACGATGAATGATGGACAACAACGTCGGAACTGGCCTGCTAGTTGTATCACGAATGCTTGTTAACATAATAGCCTTCAGTGCTACAGACAGATTCTTTGCGCTCAAAAAAATGATTGAGGAGAGCGTTTGTTAGCTTTGTTTGGAAATCAGCATCAGTTTTAATTTAATTCATTACTAGTACATGTTAGTACGAATCAGAGTAGAGCCTCATAAGCTTGCATATTATAGTAGTTACCAAATACGGCACTCCTGGTTGACAGGTTGAAATAATCGGCGTCTAACTAAATGAACTATTTTAAAAATGTTGCATATGGCGGAACTTACGTATGCAGATAGTCTTACTGATGTCTGTATATCCCAAATTGTCTACAGACTCCATTAAAGACCGTGTATTAAGGTAGGTAATATAGGTTGTAAAGCTTGGTAATGATTCTAGCCATGAAGTTTTGTTTTTGTTTGCTTAGGTGAAATATAACTTTGAAGCTGTTGATTCAAAATAAGTGGATTGTTCTTAGCATCTGCTTAAAATCCTCAGTGTATTTCACAAGAACAAAAAAGGAACATTGGTAAGGTGTAATAAAATAGAAAAAGATAAACAGATGAAAGTAAAACTGCTGCTTATTTCGAACTTGGCTAATAAAGAAGCGTGATTACAATCTATGAACATTAGCGCTTGATCATGACTTTGTGGAAAAGTACTGTTGAGCACAAGCATTAATGTATCAGAATCTTGTGGGTAAGGGTCGAGAATAAGGGGTGCGCTTGAAAGCGCTGAATTAATGGCTCTGTTGTCAGAGATATTCTCGACCACGCCTATTAAGTCTGAAAGCGAATAGAATTGCAACTTTTCGTTATAAAATCGTCAAGATTGTTTCTTGCACAGGCATTTATGCAGTAGCCGAAGGAGTGACGATCGCAGGCTTTCATCAGTCTGTTGGATCACGAGCAAGTTCTAAATCCACTGACACCGTTTATTGACATTTTATGTGATCACGCTTTTGCGATCAGATGAGCTTGATATTATTCGAATGTAAAGAGGAGCGAATGCGATTGTTAAGATTTTCTCTTCAGATATGAAAGTTTGAAGGGTATGTAAGGTTCCAGTTTATCATATATGCATTGTAAGTATTATCTCTACTCAGGATGTTATCGTGTTTGTTCAACTTCTTTTTAGGTAAGATAGTAAGGCAGACTCAATTTACAGTACAGGTACTATATATACAGAAGAACATTAAAGCATGCGACGATGCACAGATGCGTCTGATTTGCACATTGTATTACATGCCGTTGTTCAAAAAAATCGGTGGTTGACAGTAACAGATTGAAGCTTACTAGCTTTTGAAGCACTCTACTTTCGGACAGTTGAATTTAACATTGCCATGCTGTTGCAGGTTATAGGTCTTAGTGTGATTCCATCTTCATCTTCATCTTCCATCGCCGCTTCTCCTTTCGGGTCGCGGAGGCAGACGCGTCAGACA